TAGATTTATGGAAATGGATTAATTTAAGCTAAAAGAACAGTTAGCAATAAGCCTGCCACGGCCATACAGTTTGTAAGTGATATAAGCGTCTGAGTGATTATTTTATAAGTGGATTGTGGGACTGCGGGTCTTGGGGAACCTGGAGAGAAGCCCTCCAGCAACACTGGTCTGAACAAAACCAACAACCTTTAGGCTAATTAAGGGATCCCATCATGTGTTTCAAACGATTGCTTTCTAACCATGCACCCCAAGATGCTGATCCACCAGCTGCAGCTGCTGCAGGTCAGTGACACTGGGACTCCAGCCTCTGCCCACAGAGCAGTCTAAGGGCACTGGTTGATAGTGCTGCTCACTTACTGCACTCCTTTAGGATATAGGCAAAATAAACTAACAATTGTTCCAGAGTTTGCTTCATTACTATCAGACTTTCATAGATAATTAAATGATTAAATTTTCTGCGATTATGATTGTGGATTTCAGCTGAAGAATCCAAGAGAATAGCAATAATAATTGCTGCAAAATTTTTATCTGATAGATTAAAATCTAAGTCACATTTTAGAAGTTCATTTTATTAATGTAGAAAAGAATTATTATGAAAGTGGTTCAGCTAACAATTTAACATAATTATTTTCTTAACATATACACAATTTTTGAAAGAGAAAAGTATTTTGGTTTTCAAAAATTGTAAAATTACCTTAATCCATATTTATCTGTAAAAGTTGATGATTCTTTAACACAATTTTAAATAACTAGAGTTATAAAATCTATTTTCATAAATAATTTGTATTTTATACAGTAACATGCAGTATATAATTTGTATACATTAAATAATAGACACACATATATATATATTTATATATCATACACAAAGTTGTACATAAAACTTAAATACAAAAGCTGATGTTGGTCATAAAACCCTACATCAGCAGGCCATAGCTGGCATGAGACCGACCTGCAGCTGAAAAGAACTACAAAAGATGAATAAAATATTTAAAAATTACTGAAGGCATTCATAAAACAACAAAGGCTGCTGGAACTGGAGGGCAAATTCCTACCGGGCAGCGTAATGCACTGACTGCTGCTCTTTCTTTCTCGGCTGTTAGGCAGTTCTAGGCCCAGGGCACAGGGGCAAATAGAACAACAAGCCTGTAAGTGCTCCGTTCCCTTGGCTAAGAAAATCCTCACTCAAACTATAGTGCTGCCCAGTGACCCAGGTGTAAGGAGAGCCAGAGACATGACCTCACTCACAGGCTGAGGTTGGCAGATTGGTAAGACTGTCTTCAAATTTTACATTTGTAAGTACAGGTGATAACTTACATAAAGAAAACATAAAAACCAGCTGCTAGAGATCTGTAAAGTGAATTGGAGAACCTGAAGTCTCACAGTTCAAGAGAAACAAACACAGTTTTCCAGGAACACTCAAGTAAAGAAACTTTCGAAAAGGTTTCTATTAGGAGGTTGACAATCTCATATGCAAGGTCAAAACAGAAATGAAATATCGCTCCAAGTTAAATAGGTTGAGGGATTACCCTCCATCTCTGCCTCCTTTCCTCCCCCTTATCTTTTCTTATTGGAATACTCAGAGTACATATTGACATGTTTCATAGAGACATTTATTCAAATGAATATTCACCATATTCACCTCCTCCCTGGATTTCCCAGTCCCCTTATCAGTAAGCTCCTTCCTTTATCTATACAGTATTCCTTTACTTTCATTCTATAGTGATTATATATGTCTAGTAATTATATATAGATCATACATAGCGATTTGCTGTGGATATCACTCTATATAAATAAAACACTGATGGCCAGTGACCAGGCAGGAAGTATAGGCGGGACAAGGAGAGAGGAGAATTGGGGAAACAGGAAGAAGGAGGAGAGACACTGCAGCCACCGCCAGGACAAGCAGCATGTAAAGATGCCGGTAAGCCACCAGCCATGTGGCAAGGTATAGATTTATAGAAATGCGTTAATTTAAGATATAAGAACAGTTAGCAAGAAGCCTGCCATGGCCATACAGTTCGTAAGCAATATAAGTCTCTGTGTTTACTTGGTTGGGTCTGAGCTGCTATGGGACTGGCAGGTGACAAAGATTTGTCCTGACTGGGCAAAGCAGAAAAACTCTAGCTACAGCGATTGTATATACATTGTATTTATTCTATATATGTTATATATATTCTAAAATTCTATGCTACAAATATGAGAAGAAGTGTGTGATAACAATGTGTACAATGGGGAAAAGGGCAAATCTCCTAATGATGATAAATGTATCATCAAGACATTAATTACATTTTTATGTGGAGGTTATGGAACTTCATAAAACAATGGCAAAACAGTCCCAAAGTCACCAGAAATGACTGTGACAGCACATTTTACCCACTACCAACATAGATATTGCCTTAAGATGACAAGGTTATAAATATTCGAGACTGATGATAACCAGATATTTCAGCTAGTGAAACCTACAGTAAACTGAGTAAAATTTTGAACTTAATAATTAAATATTTAGAAATGTTGTGAATTGGTTTGCAAAACTAAAAAGACTAGAACAGAACAATAAAAGTAGATCAAGACAGATTGCTGTACCTGAGCATGATGAAATTTAACAGTAATGTGTAAATAACAAATAGTTCGTGACTCTAAGATTTAATCAAGCTCCATATAAAATATTACTGAAAAATCACAGATGTTATTTTATAAAACTTATATAGATCATTGAACTAATTATACAAACTTAAAGAGATTTAAAAACACGACACAGCACAGACAAGCATGGAAAAATAATGCAAAGAAATTCTTAACCTTATACGCACATGCTTGCTTTGTACTTTACTGTTGATCTAAAAGTCATTTCTCAGAAAGGGTTAACATTTGTAATTCATTTGGTGTTTTGAGGCAGAATTTCACAAGATGAGGTTAAATATGGACAAAAAATATGAGGTGGTTTGCTATGGTATAAGAATTTATTATTGTCCAGGCCGTGGTGGCACATGTCTTTAATCCCAGGACTTGAGAGGCAGAGGAAGGCAGAACTCTGAGTTTGATTCCACCTTGGCCCATAGAGCAAGTTCCAGGACAGCCAGGAAACGCTGTTTCAAAAAACAAAACAAAACAACAAAAATTCATCAGTTGTTCTGTGAATCGTCACTAGGGAGCCGGTTCATTAATATGCAATGGTTAATTTTAGTTTTGTAATATAACGAAGGAAACATGACATCTTATATCACTTTTTCTATAATGATAACTTCAATTAACTTATTGGCTATTCATATTTCTGATTTTACATTTTTTCTTGAGCTTCTTTGTTTATGATTATAATTAACCATTAGAGAGTTATTTTCTTATATTAGCATGTTGATATCTTATTTCCTCAAGTTGATACCTACAAAATACATTGTAGTTTATAATGCAAGTTAAATAAGCATTCCCTGCTGTCTTCACTATAGTGTTTTGGATTAGATTGTTGGCTTATTATTTTACTCACATTCAGTTTCTGAAGAATGTTGAAATTCAGATAATTTGTAAAGAAAACCTGCTAAGAGCAATATAAGTTGGAATAAAAACTTAGGCATAGTCTTTATTTCTTTGAAGATTTCATAGGACTGTGGTGATATTTTATTTGTGCACCCCAATAAAGCTTATCTGGTAATCAGAGGAAAAAGCCAGCCACTATATTAAACATAGAAGTCAGGCAGTGATAGCACACACCTTTAATACTATCACTGGGGAGGCAGAGATCAGTCTGGATCTCTGTGAGTTCAAGGCCACACTGGGGATAGAGACAGGTGTAGTGGCACACGCCTTTAATCCCATCACTTGAGATCTCATGTCCTTGCTTGGGAAGGATACAAGCCTTTAATCCCAGGAAGTGATGGCAGGAAGCAGAAAGGTATTTAAGGCATGAGGACCAGGAACTAGAACCTTTTTAACAGCAGTCAGCTAAGACCCTTCCTGGTAGGGACTCAGAGGCTTTCAGTCTGAGGAAACAGGATCAGCTGAGGAGTTGACAAGGTGAGGTTGGTTGTGGCTTGTTCTGCTTCTCTGATCTTTCAGCTTTCATCCCAATATCTGGCAGTGTCTGGCTTTTGTATTAATAAGACCATTTAAGATTCATGTTACATTGACCTTTCATCTGTCAGTGTATCATTTATCTTTTTGCATGATTCATGTGAACCAGTTGGTAAGATATTAATCAATGTTTCTAGACTACAGACTTCAAAATCAAGATTATTATTTTCTTTTTTCCTCTTTCTGTCTGTCCTGTTTTAATTATCTACATGTGATTGTAATTGCTATGTCTTTAGTATATAGAAGACAGAATCACACACACACACACATACACACACACACACACACACACACACACACACACACACACACACTTTTCCTTCATTAGAGAATGCTCCTTCAACTGTCATTTATTCTTTTGGCTATTACTTTACTTGCCTTTAAAGCCAAATTTCTGTGACCCAAATTCTGTGCCAGTCACAAATTTTATTCTCCTTCTAGTAAGTACACTGCTATGATGGGTTATTAGCAGCAGACATCCATTACACTAAAAGTAACTCTTGATGTCAACCTGGAAAAATAGTTTTATGGGCTGATATATACCATTAGCAAGAGCTTTTTTGTAGAACCTATTTATCTTCTGCAACCAATTTTCTTCAGTTCATAATTAGATTTGGGAAAAGCAAAATAGTATATATATATGAAAACATTTAAAGTTAATGTTTATTGGCCAGAAAGAATTACCTGGTGAGATGTAATGGCCATGAATTTTGGTATAGCTTTATATTTTATTCTATTTTGTACAGTGCCTGTCTGAAATAACTAGGTATTATTTTGTCTCATTTTTTTTAAATAAGAAAGCAAAACACTAGTGAGAAACTGTAAATGAATTCCACAGAGTTACCTTTTATGGTGCAGTTATTAACCATTATTTTCACAAGTAAAAAATAGATAACTTGCTTGATAGTGCTTAATATTTGTCAATGACCCAATAAACTTAAAATTTTTCTGTTTTGTGGCATATTTACAAAATTCAAGCAATTCAACTTAATTTGTGCATCACCATGCTATATAAAAGTTTAGGCTAAAGTGTCTTGTGTGTCCACTTATTTTCAGTATCTTAGTTACATAAAAATGCATTTCTCAAATGCAATATCCCACGTATGAATACGTAACTAGAGGCATGGATTTATCCCTTCAGTAATCTTTCTAGATTTAAAGGTCGACTCTCTGGTATGTGGTTACAACTTCTAAACTAATTCTATGTATATTCTCTTGATAGTTTAAACATACTTTCT